ATTGTTTGCCTGCCTCTCTAGTTGGTGGCACTGTTGACCACCCCTGACTTGTTGGCCGTGGCTGTCACTCCATTTCTGCCTCTGCTCATACTCTCTTCCTTTGCTGTGTATTTTAGTAAGGACAGTTGTCTTTGGACTTATAGCCTAGTAGTAGGTTGTTGCTCACATCAGGTCACAGTCATAGATTCCAGAGATCTCATGTACCTTTTGGGAGGACTGTCCTCCAGTTTTTTTTTCTTTCAACATTGAATACAGATTTTTACAAAGTTACTTTGCTCAGACTTTAAAAATATAATGGTGTTGTCTTCTGGTTTATTTCAAAGTGATTTTTGCTTTGAGTGTGCCTCTGTAGATGTCTGCCCACTCTCATGTCCTTTGTTGTCTTTAAAATACTATTTTTACCATGATGACTAGATGTGGGGTTTTCATTTTGCTTAGCATGTAGAAAGCTTGAGTCTGGATTGAGTTCTTCCAGTAGTAGCAGTAGCTTTCCACATCTTCTTTCTGTCTCTTTCTCTACGGAAAAGTAAATAAAAGCACTGATGTTCTGCATTTTCCCTATCAGCTTCTTACAGATAACTTCTGCTGATCCACTTCCACTTTACTCATTTGATTGCTACAAAGCCCATGTGTTGAATCAAACTTTTCATCTTGTTCTTTTCTCCAGCATTCTCTTTGGTTTGCTTGTCAGCTCACTGCATCTCTGCATCACCTGTGGTTCCACTAACCTCTTGTCATGTAGTATTTTTCTTGTCTTTTAGCCATGTAGTCCTCTCTTGGTCTGCCTAGGGGGTTTGTCTTTGGTTGTCAGGCATGTTATAATAGAATTGTAGTGTCCATTTGATATCTTCCCTTGCCTGGCAGCTACCCTGATGATCTTCCTCCACATAGAAGTTAAATTTGTATGTTTTCTTTCAGCTTGGGCAAAGCTTGGGTTCCCGCTTCCATACCTCTGTGGGAAGCTGTCATGTACTTCAGTGAGTTTTAGTTTTTCTAAGTCTTTTGCTGAGATAGCTTTGGAATGTGTCATGGCTTGAACATGGTTCATTTCGTTTAAAGCTCTTCAAGGGCCCAATTTTATCATTGTAGTGCTGCAAGACCACCAAAACCTACCTTTATTTCTCTTGCCCTTGTTAAAAACTGGTAAGTTCATGTATTTTTGTTTCTCTTTGATGCGTACATGTTCTAGACACTGGGATGGAGTTAGGAACACATAATTTTTAGGAGGATGACATTTGTGGAAGGTCAGAGGAAAAGGCAGAATTAGGTAGGGAGAGCCTCAGACTGGGGCACTCAATTGTGGAAGTCTCAGCCAGCCCATCAGGTTCTAGGGACAGTTAGAGGTGACCTTCCTAAGGCAGGTAGAGTTGCTGGGGGCTGGCACCCACAGTACTCCAGTCAAATCATAGATCTTTCTGGAGAGGAGAGGTAGGTGTAGTTGTCAACTAACATATTCTAGGAATCACTTGCATAATTGTTCACAGAGGTTGCCTGTTCTTTTGTGGGGTTTCCTCAGTTTGTTCAGCAGGCATCCTTTAATAAGTGTTGAAGTGTTCTGCTTGTAGAATGTTGCACAGTGAATAGCCTGGTTCTTGGGTTGACTGCATTTGTGGAAGTGACCTTCAAAGTGGATTCCGAGACTCTGGAGGGGGGATCATAGTAAACGCTTGTGCAGGTTTAAGTCCAGCTGACTTGTGTTTTGTACTCATAGAAAGTGTGTTTCCTCACAACCTTGCTAGCAGTAGACTGCTTGCTGATCAGTGTTGGAAAATTGTATCAGTGTAGTTGCTGTTCATGTCTGTTATTTTTAGGTTTGTTTCTCCTACTGAGTTTTTGTTCTTCTAGTTTTAAAAGTTATATACATGCATGTCAGGCCCTATGGGTTTGATATCCAGCCCAGCAAAAAGCAAAAACAAACTCAGGCTTTTGTAAATGATGTGTAAATATGTGGTTTTTTACTTATTTTGCATTCTTGGTTTACGTTCTTTTGTTTGTTTATATGTAGCTCCAGCCAGCCTGGAACATGCTGTGTAGACCAGGCTGGCCTCAATTTCACAGAGATGCACCTACCTCCTGCCTCCCTAGAGCTGGGATTAAAGGCACATGCCACCACACCCAGCAGAAATTTAGATTTTGTGTCAATTATTGCAGAGGCTTATGGATTACAGTAGCATTTCAGACTTAAAAAATAATAAAACCACTAAACAGTTTTTTTCTAACTGGTTCTCTAGCATCTCATCAGTATCTGTAGGTGAGTGGATGACAGCTCCAGATCCTGCTTGACCTTTGCTTTCAACCTCTATGGGCTATGGAACCACAGCCTTTGGTGTCCAAAATGAGTAAGGTTGGGGCTGGAGAGATGGCTCAGCAGTTAAGAGCACTAGCTGCTCTTCCAGAGGACCCAGGTTCAGTTCCCATCACCTACATGGTGGCTAACAACCATCCATAACTCCAGATCTAAGGGATCAGAAGCCCTCTTCTGACCTCTTGCAGGCTTTGAACAACACAGATGCACATACATACATATATACATACATGCAGGCAAAACACTCATAAATAGAAAAAAAGCAGGGGAAAGGGGAAGGATTACAAAGTGAGTAAAGTTGATAAAATCATTTGGATGCTGCACATTGTCTGACTGACTAGAAAGCAGGTAGAGAAGTGAGCCCTTGTAGGGGTTCCTGTGCATCATTGGAATGGTGACCCCATTCCAACAGAAACCTTCAGGGTTGTTTGGAAAGGTGGGGGGGGGGAAGTCAGGTAATGGAGCAGGGGTATCCAGGCTGCAGGTGGGGGGCTATGGGAACTCAAAGGAACTTGATATCCAGGCAGTCTGACTGCAGCATCTGTCTTGTAACCCCATGGATCTCAGGGTTGGTTTGGCTGATCTGGCTAGCTAAGCAAGTATCCTCTTCCTCCCTTACTGCTCCCTATGTGTGCTTCCCCAAGCTGTGCACTCAGGATGACCTTTTCCTGATAGAGCACCGTTCTTCAGTCAAGGATATATGAATGGCTGCTCTGGTGCTAGAACTTCCAAACAAGGGGTTGGCAAGATGGCTTAGAGAATGCTTGCTAAGCGTGTAAAGTCTTGAGTTTTATTCCCAGCACCCCCTCCCTCCCCAAAAGCAAAATAACAGCAAAACTGTACTCACAAGGACTGTCTCTTTGGAAGTTAACCCAGACCATTGTGCTCTGTCCCTAGTTTTCACCCAGTCCTTAGTTTCCTCCTGGTTACTGTTACAAAACAGGATTCCCCAAGGAGTTATGATAGCACCTTGTATATATTAGTCCAAAACCAGATGCCTATTGTATTAGTCACATTTCTGTTGGCTGTGATAGAAACACTGACCCAAGCAATTTATAGAAGGAAGAGTTTATTTGAACTTACAGTTCCAGGGGAATTACAGTCCGTCATGGCAAGGAGACATGGTGGCTAGAGGTGGCTGGAGCAGGAGCAGCAGAAGCTAAGCTCTCACATCATCATGTAGGCACAGGAAGCAAGAGAGCAACTGGAGAGCCAGCAAAGCTTAAGAACTCTCTAAGCCCACCCCCAGTGACCCCAGGAGCCACACCTTCTAAAACCTCCCAAAACAGCACCACCATCTGGGGACAAAATGTCCAAATACTTAGAGCCTATGGGGGACATTTTCATTCAAACCATCACATTCCGCCCCTTGGCCCCCATAGGCTTATGACCATATAAAATGCAAAATGATCTTGCTTACATATAGATCCAGATTTCTTTTTCCCATTTCTGGGCATCTTCGGGGTTGATTAGAGCCCCATCAGAAAGAAGATTGAAGTTTAATAATACTGACAACCTGGGCTCCTGACTGGCCATCCTGAATAGAGGAAGCTGGGGTATAGACTATGAAGAAGCCTGAAATGAATTGTTTGAGACAGTACCTAAAACCGAGAACAAAACTTTTAAGTGAAAATATACAGTGAGGCTATATCTTTGCAGTCACTGAGAATGTGTGACCTTAAAACACCTGTTACTCCCCTAGAATCAGCAAAACAGGGTCTTAGGTCTAAGCTCAGTTTGAATTCTGGTTCTTCCCCACTTTGTAGTGAAGCCAGCTGAGGATAATGGACATTAGTACATGATGTTCATCACTCTTGCTGAGTCACAAATTATGAAACTGCCAGGAGCCTTGGGTTTCTTTATTCCAGCTTAGATTAGTCTTCCCTTCCTCACCTCCCTTCCCTCCACCTCTCTCATCTCTCCTTCCTCTTAAGATTATTACTTAGCTTTTTTGTGGGGTTTTTTTGTTTGTTTGGTTGGTTGGTTGGTTTTTTTTTTTTTTGGTGGTGGTGGTGGTTTTTTGAGACAGGGTCTCCCTGTAGCCCCAGCTGGCCTAGAACTCACTGTGTAGGCCAGGTTGTCCTTGAACTCAGAGATCCACCTGCTTTTGCCTACTGACTGCTGGGACTAAAGGCTGTGCTACCGTGCTTTTGTGTCTTTTTAAAGAAACAGCTGCACTGTGTAGCTCTGATTGACCTGGAGCTCACTATGTAAACCGTGCTGGCCTTGAACTCACAGAGACCTGCCTGCCTCTGCCTCCATAGTGCTGGGATTAAAGGAGTCATGCCACCACAACCTGGCTTTACTCAGCTATTCTTCTGTGTTTATTTTGGCCCTGAGATTGAACCCAGGGGCTCACGTGCTAAGCATGAACTTTATACTAAGTTGTACTCCAGCCCTTTGGTTCAGCTATGCTAGACAGTGGACTGCCGTTTGAGTTTCTGCCTGATTTTTTTTTTCCCCCAGTTGTAGAATGTGAGTATTTAATCATAGGTCTAAAAGGTAGGGTTATGTTTGTGACTCATCTAAATTGTGAGGAAACAAGATAACTAGAGACAAACTTTTGATCACATGGTGATGTAGGGGTCTCTAAGCTTTATAGAGACTGGAAGAAGGGTAAATCTCAGGGAGGCCTGGTAGTCAGGTGGTTGCACTTCTTCACTGACACCCTGCTGTGCTGTGTATTTTCCCTTAGCTGGCTTCCCTGTGGGCTATGCAGCAGCTCCTGCCTATTCTCCTAACATGTACCCTGGAGCGAATCCTACCTTCCAAACAGGTATGTGCTTCTTGACAAATGTGTCTCATGTAGGGGGAGGAGGTATGGAATTCTTCATAAATGAACCTGTTTCATGTAATCAAAGCTTGGTTCCCCATGAACATAAAGCATAAAGCTTTGTTTACTGCACTTCTCAGATCTTTCCACTGGCCTGCCATCCAATCCCTGGGTGGTGCAGATGTCAGTTCTTAGGACAGAACGTACTTCTAGGAACTGAAGACCATATTGTCTCTTCACAACACTGTGGTTATATTTTTAAAAGAAAGTCTTGTTCTCTGTATAAAGTGCATAAGAACATTTTCAGATTTAAGAAATTTCTATTAAAATTGAAAATGAATTAGTTTGGGCCTACATTGCAAAGCTGATTTAGTATGATTTCTTCTGGTGAGCCTGCACCCTTTGGTGTGAGCTGTCAGCTTCTTTGGGCCTTACTTACTCAGACAGAATTATGTGATTACTTTGCGGGTGTTGGCCTGTGCTTAGACAAGGGCTCGGCTTGTCCTGTGGCAGGTGTCTTCTGGGACAGTTCTTTGACTTACAGAGCACTAGCCTCACACAGTTGCCTTGGACAGAGAAGAGAAGCCAACAGTATCCTTCCTGTGAATTCCTCTTTTGACACATAAAATTGTACCTTCATGTTCTGCTTTGTCGAACATGACCACCTCTCTTCTGCCCTACACTTAGACCCAGAGAAAACTTTGACTTTGTCTTTCTGCTTCAGAGTTTTCTGTCCCGGGTTTGTGCTCCTGCCCACCTAAACCAGGGTGGTATACACAGAGGAACTTTTTCTTAATGATATCCTATCTCTGGGAGACCCAGTTAATCCAAGTGTCTCTACTTTAACCCCCTAGCTTTTTCCCATAGTAACCTTTTTCTCTCCAGAACTCTACTCCTCTTGTGGTGTTGTCTGGCTTCTTCTCACATGCTTCCTCTCCTCCACCTGTCTTTGAGTCTGTTTTTGGAACATCTTCAGCAATTGTTCATGGTGTTTACTCATTGGGGGCTGTATAGGTTCCAACACCCTTCTCCTTTTTGTGAGAATCTTCGTATTGTACAGCTTTTAAAGCAGTGCTCTTGAGGTATTTAGGACCTAGCTGCACATATTTAAAGTGTGTGTTTGGTATTTTCTGCTGTAAAGTGTATCACCATCACAGTTGGTAGTGAATATACCTGTTTTGGCAAAAGTTTGGTTCTGTCCATTACTAACTCTCCCAGGTTCCAAGGAGTCACTGATTTTGCTTTCTCTCACTATAGTTGAGCTTGTGTTTTGTAAATTTTTTATGAAACTTAGCAGTTTCTAGCCCACAGGCTGTTCTGGTATTGTATTTTATTGGAACCTCTTCAAAAGCACCCTCCAACCTGTTCCCCAGCCTGGTGGGAGCCTCTTCCCAGCACTCTGGGGCTTTTGCCTTTTCCCTCTATTTCAGTCCTTGTCTTCTTTTAGGTTCCTCTTTGCTTTTGTGGAGGATTTCCTTCAGAGGTTCCTGGGAGATCATGAGGGAGTCATGATTTAGAGAATTTCTGCCTGTAAAACACTTTCTGTATGCTTGCTCACTCACTCATTGACTCACTCATTGGCTGTTTCTCTCATGATAAGTCTCTGGATATGGTTAGAATTGTGGGCTATCAGCCATTTTCCCCAGGATTGTTGGAGGATTCAGTGCATGAAAATTGTCACACTTAGAAATGGCACTTCCTTCATTTTATTTAATAGTTTATATTCAAATTTAAGGCAAGCCAGTAGTCTTGAATATTTGGAACCAGGATCTACTTGATGCATATTGAATATGTTTATGAAATTGAATGTATACATTTTGCCTCCCTTAAATTTGTAACAGCCTGCCTAACCTTAAAAAATAACTTTGACTTTAAATAAATTATTTTTTTGTTTTTATTTGCAGTGCTGGAGATTGAACCCAGGGTCTTGCACAAGTTAGGCAAGTGTTCTACCTCTGAGCTACATTCTTGGCCGTGTGTGTGTGTGTGTGTGTGTGTGTGTGTGTGTGTGTGTGTGTGTGTTTATTTATTTATTTTATGTGTATGAGTGTTTGGCCTGCGTGTATATACGTGCACTATGTACATGCCCAGTACCCATAGAGGCCAAGAAGAGTTGGATTCCCTGGAACTGGAGTTACAGTTGTGAGCTGCCATGTAGGTGCTGGGAACTGAACCTTGGTCCTCACGCCTCTCCTTTCTGTTTTGAGACAGGATCTTGCTATGTACCTAAGCTGATCTTAGACTCCAAGCTTCCTACCTTAACCTCCTGAGTGCTAACAATCTAGGTATAGTGTTACACCTGCTTAAAGAGTTTTTATTAGGAACAATTTCAAGTGTGTATACAAGCCTATGAGAGTGTAGTCCCAGTCATCTTGCAGTCACCTGGCAGTCACTTGGCTTGGAATGGTAGCAGCTCAGAGCTGATATTTTCATCTATATTACTACCACTTTTTCCTGTAATCTTTTAAAGTAACTCCCATACATCATTTTCATGATATTTAGAAGTAGTTCTAAAAGTATATATAATAATGTCATTATATCTAAAAATATTCATTTTTAAAATTATTCTGTATTCCAGTTTTCAGGTATGTCATCTGTATTGTGAGTTTTATGAGGTTTTTTTGTTTTGGGTTTTGTTTTGTTTTTTTTGACTTTTTACACTGAAGTAAATGAGCTATGTTCTTTAGAACCATATGAAAACTGGCTAGCACCAAAAATTCTGAATGATTCCAGATTTACACCTAGCATCTGCTCTCAAAGTGTGACATACTTGAATATTTTGATTTTTAGTATCTTGTTCATGTGACTTCACTTATTAAAGAGAGTCTCATGTTCCTTTTTTATTTCTGGGTTTATGCAAAGCATCTGTGCTGGCCTCAAATCTACAATCCTCCTGCTTCAGCCTTCTGAGTTACAGACATACACTGCCATGCCCAGCTCTGGCAAGATCACTCGATTAAGGCCCTTGGAAATGATGGGACAGAAACTGGGTTTAGATGGGATGGGGACCAGCGTGAGGTGAGGACTGCCTGGCATGAATATGGTCATGGTAAGTCCTGGAGGACTGGATTGGAGAAGAGGAGTTATACAGGACAAGGCTTTATTTTCCTACCCTCATCGCCCACAGTTTCTTTGTTTTCAGTCAGCTTTGCTCTCCACCCTGAACTGGTTCTACTTTCCTCCATACATGTTGTGCTGTGGGTGATCTGGTTTCCTTCTAAAGTTAAGCACCTCATGTAAAGGTTATCTCTGGTAGGACCTGACCTGTCAGTAACAAACAATAGCTGGACCTGGTGGCCAGATATATCCAGTGAGAGATACCTCCATGTGAGAACCATTTACTTGGGAGGAGTTAAAGACTGTCCTGGGCCTTCTTGCAGTATCAGTGGAACTGGAACTTGATGGCTTCTACGTTGCTTTTTTTTTTTCCTGTATACTTAATGTTTTTTGTTTGTTTGTTTTTGTTTCTGAGACAGGGTCGCCCTGTAGCCCCTGCTGGCTGGAGCTCCCTATGTAAACCAGGCTGGCCTTGAACCCACAGAGATCCCCCTGCCTCTGCCTCCTAAGTGCTGGTATTAAAGGCATGTACCACCACTCCTGGCTTGTCTTCATATACTTAATGTTTTAAAAATTTGTTGTGGTTTAATTGGCATATAATAAAGTTGCATGTATTTAAAATTTTTAAGTTTCAAAATGCATTTACCGTGTCTTTATCCATTTTCCTTTTGTATCCTTTGTAAAGACTAGGAGATGATCAGCTAGAGAAGGGAGCTGTGAAGTTAGCTCTCTACCACTATAACAAATGCCCAAGGTATTCAGCTCTCTAAGAGAAAAGATTTGTTAGGGCTTACAGTTTTGGAGATCTCAGTCTGTGGTCATTTGGCCATTACTTTGGGCCTCTGGCTAGGCAGAAAGAAGCACATGGTAGAGCAAAACAACTCACTTCATGGGTGTGAATCAAAAGAAAGAGAAGGAGAAGGGGCCAGAATCCCACTGTCTCCTTTGAGAACTTACTCTCAGTGATCTAAAAGACTTCTTACCAGCTGATTACTGCTGGGTGAGAATGAGCTGATATTAAAGGGAGGTACTCTAGATAGACTGACTAGATCCCAGTGGATGAACTTACACTGAGGGCCATCTAGGGACACTAACTTTACATGGTAGGATAACACAAATGACAGAAGGTATGAACTCCAGTGGCGGGGTATATGGGAGGGTGCCAAAGGGGAAGGGAGTATAAAGATAATTTTCTGTATGAAATACACAAAAATTCAATAAAAGATTTGTTTTTAAAAAGACTTAATACTAGGCGCTACCTCTTGACTGTTCCACTACCCCATATTGCCACACTGCAGGCCAGGCCTTCACAACATGGGTCTTTCTGAGAACACTTAGGATCCAAGCTACGACAAGAGACTCTTCATGTGCTCTTGTCTTTAAATTTGCTTTTAAAAAAACCAAGTGGAAAATCTACAAAAATGGAAAATTTGGCTCTCTTGGCAAAGCACTAATAGTGAAAGTTAACATACTCAAATGTTTAAGTATGTATACTTAGAGTTAATGTACACATAACAAAGTTAACATAGACATAATGAATTTCAAATGTTACAGGGAGACCTAGGAACATGTTTTGTCATCTTCAACTAGCTGAGGTTGGCAGTTGTCTGGTTTGAGTTAAGAGGTCAGGACTCCAGATTTAGGCAGGTCTGGGTTTGAGTACCTGCTGTGTGCTTTAGGATTGGGCCAGCTGCTGGGCATGCTAAAAGGTAAGAACACGGAGGAGTGTTCTGAGAAACACATGGAAAGGTGTGTCATTGAGGTCTGCTGACCTTGCCCACAGTGTACAGACCCCCAGTATTGGCCTGCAGCCAAGACAGAATAAATGAGCAGATCTCACCTAGCCCCCCTAGAGGAAAGTAGAATTTCTTTCTTGTGATTGAAAAAAAAAAAAAAAAAGACCATTAAAATTTGTGGATGTTGTAGGAGATAATCATTCCTAATAGTATTAGAAAAATTTAAAAATATTTGTATCCTTGATTCATGTTTGAAAACTTGAGATATAATTTATGCACAAACACATATTTAGTGTGCATTTGGATGAATTTCCATAGCTGATTTTTTGTGTGTTATGTAGCCGTCACTCAGCAAAATTTGGGACACTCATTATTCTAGAAGGCTTCTTTGCCCTCTCCCTGATTTTTTGGTGGACTGGGTAGTTGTTAGATATGTAAATGAGGTAATTCATTGTACTGTTCTGTGGCTTCCTAAGAAATCCATTGTGGTTTGAAATTCATTTATAATTTCGCTTTGAATTGCTAAGTAGTGTTTATCTGGCTGGATCACAATGTCTCCTTCTGTTGATGAACATTCATGAATAAGGCCGGAGACCATGTTTTGTAAAGTTCCATTGTAGCCCCTAGGAGAAGCGACTTGGGGTGGTGTTGCTGGGTGCCATGGGAGTATGTCTGTGGCTTTAGACCTTGTTACTTCTGACACTCCATGGACAGCTGAGTGCTCTGTGTCTCCAGTTTGCACCAATAGGAATGTAAAGGATGGTCATGGGTGACATTTCAGAAAGCATTTGTGCAGATGTAGAACTGGAAGCTGTCCTTTTCAGTGTTCAAGTGTCAGGTTTGCTGTGTTTGGGCAGTTGCATACCACTGCCAGTCTGTTGTTGCTTTGGAAAGACTCCTACCCCCTATTCTGGCCACCACCTGTGGGTTTTCTAGCAGTGATTTCTTCTGGAGTTTCCTGTCAGCTGCTTGTAGCATGTATCCTGGTTCACTTAGTAGTTATCTTGAGGCTTGTCTTGTGTTGTATGTCAGCAGTTGGTCCCTTTTGGATGCACCACAGTTGTGTGGTCATCTGCTGATGAACATATGAGCCAGTTCCAGTAATTCTGAGCCTTGCCTTCTGGTCCCAGAGCAGACCTCTGTCTCTGCTGCTTCCTCATTGGATGTTTAGTCCCCCTGCGCCTTTGGAGTTCTCCCTTGACTTCTGGAGATAAATTTTGAAGCCCACAGCCCCCAGGTCTCTTTACAAGGCACTTTGCTGCGATCAGGCTACTTGTTCTCCCTGCCACCTGAGAGTACAGCTTCTGGAAGTAGCTAAATTATGTTCCACCTCAGCCACGTAAGGCTGTAGAATGTCGTCTTCCCCTCGTGGTTAGTGTAGCTTTATCTTCTGTTTCATAATCTGCCTTAACATCATTCATGCCATTTTGCTGGGGATTGATGCAAGTCAGCCTGCCCCTTTGACCCAGGTGCTTTGCTAGGCCCTGGCGTTCAGTAGGTTTCTTTCTTTGGTTTTGTGGTGGTGAGCAGCATTAAGATGAGCTTGCTTACAGAGAAATTTTTGTGTGTATATGCTTATTTCTTTGAGATGGATTTCTGGACCTTAATTGCAGGATTAACAGATAACACATATCATTACTGCTAAATTGAGCCCAGGGAGACCATAGCGGTTTCTGTTCTAGCATAACAGGGCAGAGTCTTCTGTGAGCATACGCTCTGTAGAACTCACCCCACCCCCGCCCCCATCCCCCAACACGCAGACATGCACACACAGTTCTGAAAGCTGGTCTTGGAGGAGGGACAGGGCTCTAGCGGCATCATCTTGACTGTTTGTGATTGGAGGTAGCCCTGGCTCTTCATTGCATACTTGTCCTTTTCTGGCACTGGCCAGGTGAACTCAGGCCTTTGACTTCTTTGTTCCAGGCTACACTCCTGGCACACCTTATAAAGTGTCCTGTTCCCCAACCAGTGGGGCTGTGCCACCATATTCCTCCTCCCCCAACCCCTACCAGACGGCCGTGTACCCTGTGAGAAGTGCCTACCCCCAGCAGAGCCCGTATGCCCAGGTATGCTTGGGCACACCCTGCACCGTGGGGAGGGTTGGTTCTATCAGATCGCTATAGCCCTGGGACCCTTTGGCAGTTGTCTCTCTTCTCCCCACAGCAAGGCACATACTACACACAGCCGCTGTATGCAGCACCCCCTCATGTCATCCACCACACCACCGTGGTGCAGCCCAACGGCATGCCAGCGACGGTCTACCCTGCTCCCATCCCTCCTCCTAGAGGCAACGGGGTCACCATGGGCATGGTTGCTGGAACCACCATGGCCATGTCAGCAGGTGAGTCCTAGTTCTTGGTGTACGTGTTTGTGGTGGCTGGAGAGCTGGCTGAGGTGGGGAGAGTTCATGAAGGCGCTGACGCTTGTTTCTGGATTCTCATGACTTCAGTTATATGAAAGAACCCCTCCTTCCTTCCCCTTCTTTCAGGAGTAAGGGATATAGAGGAACAGGCCATGAGCCAAGTGACCTCCATTGTGGAGCATAACTGAACAGCACTAGCTGAATCTGATGGAGTCACTTTGTTACGTGAGCTAGGTGTCCAGTAGGGATGAGGAGTAGCAGATGCTCCTTACTGGCTCTGCCTTCTGCAAGCAGATAAACATTGAACAGTGGGGTACATTTTGTGTTCCTAATGGGCTACCTGTCTTTGTAGGTTAAGTTACACAAATGGAGAAGCTTGCGTGAGTCTAGGAAAGCTGGCATTGTGTTAATAGAGGGAATAGCTGCTTGTAGAAATCCTTTGGCATTTATCTGCTGAACCAGGGCAGCGGGTTTGAGGTGCATCTCCAAGGACCATAGAAGATCAGGGGTGAGGTTCCACCTTGGCCTTGGGATGAATGTGGCTGCTTTTAGGCTGTTGCCACATAAAGTCCCTTAGTTGTCCATGACTAGGTTTTGTTTTGTTTTTTTTCTTTTTAAATCTGCATTTGAGTTTCCTGTACTTGTCTGTTAAGGCAAAAACTGCTGTGGACTGACTGCTTGCCTGAGGGCCCAAGGCAGGGGTGTGAGCATCAAGGAGTTCCCCCCACTCCAGGTGTGAGGTGTGACTTATCCTCAGATCAGCCATTGCTGAGTGTAGTTGCAGGAAAAATGTGTTTTATTAATGTACTTAGAGTCTTACAGAGTATAGAATCCCCTCTCTCCTCTCTTCCTTTCACTGTCTCCCCTCCTCCCCAAACTTTTCAGTATACAGTTCAGTAATGTTAATTGTACTCTCATTGCTGTGAAACAGATCTCCAGAACTTCCCTGCAAATCTGAAACTCCTGTACCCATTAAACAAAAACTCCCTTTTTCCTTCCCCCTAGGTGTGGCAGCCACCATTCTGTGTTCTGTCTCTGAGTTTGACAACTCTTCAGTACCTCATATAAGTGGGACCATACACTGTCCTTTCGTCACTGGCTTTTTCACTTAGCACAGTATCCTCAAAGTTCACCTCTGTTATGCATGTATCAGAATTTCCTTCCTTTTTAAGGCGAGTAATACTCATTTTTTCTTTTTGTAGTTTATCATGTGACCCACTAAAATTAGTGTGCATGGTCTATGAAGGGGAGGCACAAACATACTATCACAACAAGCCTACTGTGTTCAAAACATCTTTCAACTCTTTGAGATAATCTAGTCAGAATTGTGACCTTTTTCTGGTTCAAGACCATCCCTCTTCCCATGTGCCTCCCCCTCACAAGGAAGCCAGGCACATGCTTTTCAGAGGCCTCATGGTGGAGCCCTGCTGGAGAGGCCACTTTATGCCTTTATGTGTGATGAGTTCCTCTTTCTTTCAGGTACCCTGCTGACTGCTCATTCTCCAACTCCTGTTGCCCCTCACCCGGTCACTGTGCCTACATACCGGGCCCCAGGAACACCCACCTACAGCTATGTGCCCCCTCAGTGGTGATCACCCTGCAGATTAATGTAAGTGACCAGTGAAGGCTGACTGGGCCTGGTGGAGATGCATTTCCCTAAGGAAATGGGACGTCAACCTTGAATTTAGGCTTTCCTAGTTTGCTTCTCTGTTGCTGTGATAAAACCGTGACTGAAAGCAACTTGAAAGAAAGTATGTGTGAATGTATTACCTGCATATTTGTAAATGCACTTGTGATGTGCAGTGCTCATGGAGATCAAAAGAGGGTGTTGCTCCCCTGGAACTGGAGTTACAGATTATTGTTAGCTTCCATGTGGGTGCTGGGAACTGAACCTGGATCCTCTGCAAGAGCAGCCAATGCTCTTAACCACTGAGCCATCTTTCCAGCCCCTCAGCTACCTTTCTTATACCCACCTGCCAAGGGATGGCACCACCCACACTGGCTGGGCTTCCCTGTGTCAATTAGCAATCAAGAAAATGCCCCACCAATCTGATGAAGGAGATTCCTTAATTGAGATTCTTCCCTTTCCGCAGGTATATCTAGTTTTGTGTCAAGTTGACAAAAAGTAGCCAGCCAGTCACTGACAAGAAAGGTACACCTGCTTCTAACTTCTAGAACAGTGTAGCACTTTCTGCTTTTTTTGTCTTTTTTTGAGACACGGTCTCCCTGTAGCCCTAGCTGTCATGAAACTCCCTAGGTAGACCAGGTTGGCCTTGGACTCACTGTAGCCCCAACAGTCCTGAAACTCAGAAGGTAGACCAGGTTGGCCTTGAACTCACATAGATTCACCTGCTTCTGCCTCCTAAGTGCTGGGATTAAAGATGTGCACCACCACGCCTGGTGCTTTGTGCTTTTCTTAAAAAAAAATTCATTATCTTTATGTGTATGAGTGTCTTGCCTGCAAGTAGGTAGATGCACCCTTGTAATGCCTGCAGAGGTCAGAAGAGGGTGTCGAATCTCCTGGAACTGGAGTTACAAACAGTTGTTAGCTGCCATGTGGATGCTGGGAATTGAACCTGGCTCTTTTGCAAGAGCATTCAGTGTTCTTAACCACTGAGCCATCTCTCCAACCCCATGCTTTATGCTTTTATTCTTAGTGGGACCCCCCCCAAGCAGAGAACAGAAGGAAATTGTATTAAACCGTATTAAACTGTTTGTACTATGCATCTTTCACCTCCTGATAGACTTGCATCATCCCCCTGCTTGCTGCAGGATTTAGGATTCCAGTTGTAACTGGGGTGTGGGTGTAGGGGTTCCTATCAGTAAAGTGGATGGGAAACAGTTACAGCAGCTTTGCCAGCTGCTGCCCTTCTGGGGTTTTTGGAGCAGGGTGCCAAGAGCCTGTCTGACTGTTTGTCATTCTTCCGCAGATTTGAGGATGGAGCTGTGCAGTCACATCATTGAGTTCCACAGCTGGTGCTGCAGGCCGTGTGCCTCCAACCAGGACTTTCTTCTTAATGCTCTCGACACTTAGCTAAACACCGCGTCCCGGCCCAGCAGGTCCCAGCGCCGCTAGTCTCCAACTAACTCTGTGGGTTGGTCTTAAAGCAAATCCTGTTTTGTGGACTGCCTGGCAATTTTTTTAGCTAACTGTAATGATAAAAAGGGAGTATTAATCTATTCTGAATCATATCTAGTTGAATGCATGTTTATAAAAACAAACACAGAAACAAAGCTTGCTCAATCTACCTGCAGTGACTGATGCAAAACCATCATATGCAAAACCCAAAGGAATGGACTGTGTTTTACAACCCATGTCATTCAGTACTGTTCTCGTAAGCTGAGTCTTAAAGTTATATATGTTGAAGTGAATGTCTTCATAAAGCATCTGAAGTACCAGAGGTGATTCTTCAGCCTCTTGGGGTTGGTGAGGGTTGCCAGTTAAGGACGTGGACTTCTTGTGTTCAGCCACCTGTTCCTTTGGCACTGCCTGAATCTGGAGGGAGCTGCAGGGACTGGGAGAGAGTAGTGAGCCTGTGGTGGCTCCAGAGCAGCAGTAGTGAGTGTCCCTCGCCTCCATTTTCACTTAGATGTGGTCTGGGGACCAGGGGGTGAACCTGAAGCATATCAGGGAAGATGGAAGCTGGGTGGCAATACAGCTGGGGTGAGGGGTGGGCTGTGTCAGCAGAGCAGTGTCTCTGCGCTCTGAGTTTCCACTATGATGTTTTGTGACTCTGTTGGGAAAGCCCATTGTAGAACTAACTAAACTGTCTTCTAGGTCAGAAGATGTCAAAGAGAAATAGCCACATGTGGAGGCGGGGTTATCTGCTTTATTTAGCTTAGAAAATCATTCCTTTTTTCCCCTTGAGAAGCATTGAGTCAGCTGAAAACACATAGTCATTGCTGTATTCAGGCCACAGATAAGGGCAGAGATTTCAGCTATGTGCTGTGGAGAACATTGTATATTTAAGACTGATTAAAAGAGAATGTCTGTATTTTAACTTAGTTCCTTATGTTTCTTATAGAGAGGCAGGGTTGTGATTATGTCTGAAAATGTAGAAACATGTAGCTTGTCCCGGGGTCATCCACCTGATGGTGACCTATCTTCTATGACCAGATGGAGGGGACTCCTAGAAAGGGAGCATGGCCAGAAGGCATGTGAGCTGCTGCTGCCACTTTTCCCTATAGCTGAAGGTACTCAGCAGCAAGCAGATGTGGAGAATGGAGAGGGCCAGGCAATACTGGAAGTCACTTGCCTGCGAGGATCTATTGTGGAAAAGATTCTGAATGTCTAATCTGAATATGTATATAAGAAATCAAGAGGGTTGGATTGGTTCTTTTCACCTGAATATGCCCGATGTGAATCTATGAGAGTATTTCTGTTTGGTGGGGTCAGAGGGCAGGGTATGAGGACCTCTCTGGGTCTGTTAGGGGTGTGTGTGTGTGTGTGTGTGTGTGTGTGTGTGTCATTTTTCTCAATCGCATCATTGAAGTTCTAAGGGCTTTGGTTGGAAGGGGATTCTGTGCTTGTCTCTAGTAGCTAGGTCAGGGCCCCCATGCTGGGGTGGAAGTCATCTCATTTGCAGTCAGCATGGCTAAGAGGGTGAATCATCTGGCCACTGAGTCTTTGGTAACCTTATTTTTATAGTAATTTTCTTCACAATTTTTTAACGTTTTATTTTTCAAGAAGTTTAAGATTTCTGCATGGATCAGTGTAAAACGAAGATTCCTTATTCCTGGTATTCATTAACACAGAATGTTTACTGATGAGTACTTTAATCACCTCGTGAGCACTTAATTCTGTGTGTGTGTGTGTGTGTGTGTGTGTGTGTGTGTAAGAGTGAGCAAGAGAGCACACGTGTGGGACAAACGTTTACCCTAGACACACAGCTTGTGTCCATTTTTGCATTCGGTGTTGATAACCCCATCTATGTGGTTGACAGTTTGTAGTGTTGGTGGTTCCAAGAACCCAACAGACAGAAGAAGGTAGCTTTCCCAGGTAAATGACCATAGAGGAGAAGAACATACTCACGATTCTAGTGTATGTATGAAAAAGTCCCCCACACAAGTAGAAACATACATGCATCCCTGTCTCTAAAGGGTAAAACTTTTCAACTATGGCAGGAATTTACTCGGTCTTCAGGTGTGCTTGAGGCTGGCATGCTGTGTTTCCACAGGCACTTGAGTTTTCAGGAGCAAAAGTAAGGTTTTGTATCTTGTCCTGCTGGTTTCATCAGCATCACACACTTTTCCCTGTAACTTTTTTAAAAATCTTTTTTCTCATTGAAATTAAGTTGACCAACTATCAAATATATAATTCATCTGTGTGGAACTCTTTTCTGTTTTGAAACTATCGGCCTCAGCTGGTGAGTGGATCTGCAGGTGGTAGATCATACCTATAGGTGAGATTCTGGGTATATGGTAGTACCAAATGGTTGGAGGCTGTGATTTTCAACAGCATTCACTTTCAGTAAAATTTAAGGAACAGAACTTGGCCAGTATGCTAATACACAGCTGCATAATTTGGTATTCTGAAAATTGTGGAGCATTCCAAGGAAGTGTGCTTTTATTAAGTGTGTGTGACATTCCTGACTAGAGTCCTTCAGCCAAATTCATTTAGAAGGTGAGGCAGACAGGCAGGCAAAGGACCTGATCCTGTGAACTCAGACTTCCTTTTAAGCATTTTGTCTTTTTAAGTTTATTCTGTCTTTTCCCTGAGGCTAGAGCGATGTCTTCATCTGCTGCTGCTGTCCTTTGCAGTTTGAAGGTTGGCAGAGACTTAAGTTGCTGAGTCAACGTTGAACCACCCATAAGCTCCCTGACTTTTGAGAACTAAGGCCAGCCTCAGAACTGGGCCAGTTAGCTAACAGGCTTGGAAGTGCTTCCAGAACCTTTGTCTCATTGTCTGCCTTTGAAGAACATTGAAAGCATTGAGTGGCTGTTGGCCTACCAATTGCCATTCTGGGCAATGGCTTATTGAATGCTCTGTAGAGGCTTTTCCTGCAGACAGAGCGGTCCCCAGCTCTGCATTGGGTGCCTGACTGCTGAGTGTCCACCCTTTCCCCAGCCAATTTATTGCATTTGATTATGCCAACTGCTGTGACAGGATGCCTCTAGAGCAGTGTGCATGTTTCTTGGGGGAGACCAACAGTGAGATGAAACTCGTTCTTAGGGAAGTTTGGGTTGCACTGACCTGGCGTGGGCTTTTGTGACTATGCCTGTGGTTGTGAGAGGCTAGCATATAACCAGCCTTAAATACTGAGGCTACTTTACAGAGAAGTCCAGATTTCCTCGCCTGTCCTTTCTGAACATTGGAATATAGTATTACTCTGATGGTGGGGCCACCTTCTCTCATTCAGCAGCTAACATCTGTGGTTTGTCCACTGGGCACTGCTGGATGGTGCAGGACCTCCCATGGGTACAGTAGCAGTTGGGTCAGCTACTGGTCCTTTTTTCTGGTGCTTTCTGAGGAATTTCTGGAAGGTAGGAGTGCAGCTAGCTTAGTGATTGAGCACCGCTTCCATGTCTATGTTACTTCATCTGAGCTGTGTACTACTCCTTCCTGTTTGAGCCTTCTAAATGTCATGCAGTGGTACCCCGAGGGGAGGACTTGGTCTTTGTAGGAACAGCCCGATTTAGAGGATTCCTTTCTTCCCACTCTTGTTCATTTGGAAAACAAAACCTGTGAAATAAACCTTATTAGAGTACATGGGACTAAAAGTTGTCAGGTGGGATGGGGAGATGGAAGCAGCTTTTCTGTTCAGGACCGCAGTAGTTCTACATGACAGGCAGGCAGCTCCCTGGGAAGTGGGTGGGCCTGATGCAGACTGGGAAGTGGATTAGACTAGCTGGGCCAGATTGTGGCCTGGTTCCCAGCAGGGTACTGTTAACAGCTACTTGGAAGAAAGGCCCCAAGGAGCTTGATGTGTTGTGACTGGATAGGAAAAGCGTGGTGGGAGGGGGTGTTGTTTTGGGGTTCTTTTTTTTTTTTTTACTTGTTTTTTTAAATACTTTTTTTTACACTGTTCTCTTGGTACTTTTTAAAGCTTAAGTCAGCATTGTCTTCCAGTGTTAAAAGGCACCCCTCACCTCTGCATTGAACCTATGTGTCAATACAAAGGAATGGATGGACCACCCATCCTGAGCCAGTTCAATTAGGTGTAAATTCATACTATTTTAATTTTTTATGCAATCTGATGAGTAGATGAGCTCAGATTTAAAATCCTTCAAAGCACGTTTATTGTAACAAGAATTGTTATGTATTAATACTGCAGTTTTCAATAAAGATTGACTTGTGTTGCATATTCTGGTTTTCATGATTTTTCCATGTGAGTTTTGTTAGAGGTCACAGCCTGACTGGCATGTTGTTGGAGCTTCTCCCAAGTCAGGAGGTTCCAGTGGGCTGGAGAGTGGCCATGGTGTATAGCCCTCACTTGGCTTTGGAGGATGGGCTGCTGGAGTAAGTTGCAGGAGTGGGTGGGGGGAGGGTCTTTTCAAATGGTGCAGGGAGGGAGGCTACACTGAGACCTGTAAACCTCAGTGACCCCCATCCCTTAAACCCAGTTTCAGCTGGATACTCTAGGAACAGACCACCAGTCTCCTAGGAGGTGGAAAAGGGCAGTTGGTGTGCCCACTTGTCATACCATGGCTCCTGGCCTGTTTTCCTTCCACTGCTGTCCTCCCCTCTCCCCTAGGTGTCTATAGCACTGAGCCAGTGGCCTAGTGAGCACCCTTCCCCCAGGCTGAGATCAGAGGAGAATTTGAGGGCAGAGGCAGGTTACCAGGCCCTGGAGGGATGGCTGGCATGGGGAAGAGGAACCACACACACACACACACACACACCATCCCCCCCAAAACAGAAAGCTGGCAGGTAGCCACGATACTTTTCACATTTCTTTATGAAAATTAAATGTGGTTTCTGGCTTAGAGAAGGTGTAGTGCAAGAGCGATTGTCCATGCTGCTGGATCCTGTGGGCTCCACACTGACATGCAGGCCCAGGCTGCACACCCCACACCTGAGGGTAGGGGGTCAGTCCACGCTAGGCCATAGAATTCAGTCCTTATGGCTTCTCACGCTCATGAGGGTAAGGCAATCTTTCTTGTGTCATTAACAATTCCTTTTCGCCATTGTTAAAACAACAGGACAAAATCATAAAGAACAGGAACCAGGTATGTGTGTGGCCACCCAGTGGACTGTCAGAGCCCAGCCCAGGTACATGGCTGGCTGTATGATTTTGTTCTCACTGCATATATCATAAGTGAAGGATATCCAGCAGCCAGCAGCGTCTAGAGGGGCTGGGAGGAATAAGGGCGACTATGGGCCAAAGATTTGGATGCAGAATTCCTGGTTCCTGCTCTCTGGGGTTGCAAGTGGCCTGGTGTCACCAGCAGGGCTGGGAGCCTGAAAGGACAAATGGAGAGCAGAGGGGCACACACCTGCCTTTGCAGGTGGTTCATGGCCACACAGTATGTCTCCTGCCCAAAGGAAACAGGAGTGGAGATGAGGAAGTTTCCAAAAGAGTGTCCAGAGCAGCTGAGCCTTGTACACATCAGCCTGGCCAGTGGTTCTGAGCTGTGGCTTGCAGGCTTACCATCATTGGAGGCCCTGTGCAGGTCCCGAGTGTTGGTGCCCATGCAACACTGCACTAGCAGTGGGGAAGAGGTCAGAGACCGGGCCCAGACCTGGTTCAGCTCTGGTGCTGTACCCTAATCGCTTCCAGGTTTGCAAAATAAGCAGAGGGCCAGATAGAGTAGGCCTCAGGGAGGGAAGGCTGGGGCTGCAGATAGGCAGGTCCACAAAGTGCCATCAGGTTGTCTGGTAGGTGCTGGCTTACTTGCGGAAGGGGGCCAGCCGGCTGATGCTGTGCCAGAAGGTAGATGGCTTCCGCCTGGGCTCTGCTAACACCAACACTTGCTGTTGAGGCCGGCTGGCAGGCAGTGCTGGGTGCTTGTGGCGGATCAGGTAGCCTGGCCTGCCAACAGCTGGGCAGGGAGGACAGCAGGGGTCACAGGGTGGAAGGCAGAGGTGCCTATCTGAGGGCTCTGCTGTAGATTTCCCCATGAGGCAGTCTGGCCACAGGACTTGGTTCCCAAAGGGACACCCTTAACACACAGGACCCCCAATCCCATGGTCTAGGCCTGATGTGCTCCAGTCTACTGGCTGGCCAGGGGCCCATCCAAGGAATGGGATGTTTGCCTCCTTCCCGGAGACAGCTCCTTCCCAGGTAGCTATGAAGTGCCATCAGCAGCCTGAGGAAGTAAGCATTGTCACTCCTGTGCCACTCTGGGAGTTCAAGAGCAGGAACTGTACTGACCACCAGTGCTCTGTCACCTGTGGCCCTTAACATCTTTGGGAACTCAGACCTGCAAAGGGCAGTAGGCATCTCCAAGGACCCAGGTGGCTAGCTGGCTAGGTCAAAGACTAACATGGTCAAGGCCCCCACTTACCTTTAGGCTTCCCTGTGGCCTGCTGCTTGCTGGCGTTCAGCATGGCCTGCTTCCTCTGCAGTTCAGTTATGGAGAAACCTGATGGAAGAGCACATGTGAGACTCCCGCCTCACTCCTCAGCAGCCCATATTCCTCCTTGGAGGGCTTCCGGGTCCAGATGCTGTCTTCCCAGTGTCCCATTCCCATCACACTTCAGACAGCCTGGCACAGCAGGGCTTGCTCCCTGACCTGCACAGGCAGCCTGTCTTGCCAACCAAGGGAGAAGACAGATTCCATGTCACCCCTCCATCTCTTACCATGATCCTGTGCCCCATTCCCACTTCTCTAGGATCTAGCTGCTTTCTCTCCACTGGGGTAGAGTCTCTCCCAGACTGAAGCATGAAGCTGGAGGCCAGGAGGGGTTTCTATAGTACCCCACCCCATATTCTCCCAGGGCTTGCACTGATGGAAAGATAGTCCTAGCATGGGGGCATCCCCACCCTACCCTCCCTAAGCCAGTAGACCCAGGCAGTGGGGCTGGCCAGAGAAAGCTCTGCCAGAGGGGTGAGGAAAGCAGAACCTGGTTCACCATGGTTCATGGTTCACCAAGAGGCTTCTGGAGCCTCACCTAGCCCTGAGACTGGGCTGAGACGCTGTCTCATTGTCAAGTTGTCCCTGACCACCTGGCAGGTGGGCCCCAGAGGCTAGGCAAGGCCCAGCAGGGTCTCCCACCTGTCTCCTGGTCCAGCCGCACCTGCTCCCTCTCCCTGGCAAAGGCCTTCAGCCAGCGCTGCTTCTGCTCTGGTTTCCTGGCACACAGTAGCTGGCTGTCCCCCGAGGCACCACAGTACAGACGGAAGGCATTCTTGACGCTCACATGGAAGTCTCTGTCCTTCCCATCCTCCACGTCCACTACCTCCAGGCTGTCCATGTCTAGCCGGCCCTTGTAGTACAGCACATCCCGGCGGAGCAGGTCCTGCCAGATGACACCCTGAGCCCCAGCTGCCCAGCAGCCTGCCTCCACACCCAGTTGTGTCCAGGTTCTACCCTGCCTCCCCTCCCAGCCACTGACAGAATAGTCTTTGAGGTGCTTATGGTCAAGTGGGCAGAAAGCCTCAGAAACAAAAGCAGTGGCCCACATGGTGTGGCAGAATACAGAGGACTAGGAAGGACTTGTGCACTGTGCCATGATTTGAAAGAGGAGCAGAAGCTAGCAGTAAAGAGGAGGCCAGAGGCGGCTAGGAGCAGAGAACTCCAGAGACAGAAAAGCAAAGGCTTGCAGGGAGAGACGTGGCTTGAGGAGCAAGCAGGGGCCAGGTCAAGGAGGGTTTTTTTTTTTTTTTTTAAACAGCACTGGGCACTGTTCAGACAGAGCCACTTCAATGTCCCTGGACTCACCCTGCAGTGCACCAGCCCTAAGGGCCTCACTGAGGCTCCTGGGAACAAGGAAGGAATGGCCAAGGTAGAGTCTAGCAGTTCTTTTTCCTCTAGGCAGCAGCCCCAGCCCTTAGCTTACTCCTCCACCCACTCTATATGAGACTGGTCCAACAAGGCAGGGTGGTTCTGATACCTTCTTACAGTAGATGAGCTGACGGTCAAAGAGAAAAAACATTCTCTGCTGACTCTTGGCTTGAGGATGTGTAACACGGGTCAGTTCCCCCGAGTAGATGAGCTCCGAGCTCCTGACCAAGAGATCTTCCCCCTGGGGGAACCCCAAGTAGAGCCATGAGGTGAGTACACCTAACCCTAGGCTCTTCCCACTGTGGATGCCTTCCCACTGTGCTAGGCTAAGGTAAGAGGGTCACTTCTCAAGTCCAAGGGAAGAACTCTGGGCTTTGAAGGTATGGCTCTGGGGGTGGAAGGGAGGAAAAGATAGGTTTGACCCATCTTTGCAAAGTAGGACTTCACTGTAACCATTGGCCTTATGTGGCTCTTGGAATGTGGCTGATTGTGTGCAGGTGTGATTCCCCTGTAAACTGCACAATGATTTTAAAGAGTATGAAACAATGTAAAATATTACTGATATTTTGTTGATTACATATGAAATATTAAGATATACTGAATTAAACAAAACCTTATTAAAGCCAATTTCACCTGTTTCCCCATTTTGTTTTGTGTGTGTGTGTGTGTGTGTGTGTGTGTGTGTGTATGTGGTCTATTATGTGTGGTGTGTACATGTGTGTCTGGGCATGTGCTTGTAGAGGAGTCTCAACTCTCCACCTTATTTTTTTAACGTTTATCACATTTGGGGGGGTTATGCACATGCCACAGCATGTGTGTGTAGAGGTCAGAGGACAACTTGCTGGAGACAACTTCCACCATGTGGGCCTGGGAGAGGGAACTCAGGTTATCAGGCTTGGTAGCATGTGCCTTTACTTGCTGAGTCATCTTGCCAACCCACCTCCACCTCATTTTTGAGACAGAGACTCTGACTGAACTCCTAATTCATCTAGGCTTACTGGCCAAGGATTTTCAGGGAACCTCCTGTCTCCACCCCTTTTCCCTCTTAGGGATTACAGGTATGCCACCACACCTATCTTTTTATGTGAATACCGGGGATCTGAACTCGGGTCCTTAGGCTTATAAGCATGGCCAGCACATTACCACCTGAGCCATTTCTCCAACCCTTTTCCTTTTGGAAGATAACTAGAAAGTATAGAATTCCAGACATGTCCAAATCTTCTGATTGTATAATACTGCTCTAGAGAAAAATTAGGCCTGGCTAGAACTTGCCTCTGTAGCTAAATGTATTTAGGTATCTGAAACTCCAGGCTTCAGACTTTCAAACTAATCCCTGCTTCCTTCTGGTTACTTTGGAAAATGTAAATCACAGGCTAGAACTGTTGGACGCCATCCATTTTAGGATGACTTGTTTGTTCTGGTCCTCGGCCGGGTGTGAGACTCAGAACCAGTCTACTGCATTGCCCAGCTTCCCTATCCAAGGGTTAGAATTCAGTACAAGGGCAGGGCCAAAGACTATTTTTGTAGTTTTCTGTGGCTGATTCTGGTTGGTTTCCAGATATTTTCTCATCTTGATAGTACACTGTGGTGCCATGTTGGTACAGAGAGAGGTGGGAAGACAGAGAATCCCCCTATACCTCTAAGGAGCAGGAATATCTGTTTAGGTTGTTGTCTTAGAAGGCAAGACTGGCAGACACATGGGAATAGGCAAGCCAGAGAAACGGTGACAAAGCCTTGACATGTGGGGATCCAGTTCTAGTCCCACTATTGGCTCTAAACTGTTGAAAGCCCCAGAAGGTATTTAAAACAGGGGTCCAGCCTGTCCCTGAGTAAGAAGAAAGACTAGCATGTCTTAGAAACACAGTTCCTCAGTAGGGCTGCCCCTAGGCTAGTGGTAGCTGGAGGAAGGTATGTGATACTGCACGCAGGAAGGCGACCTCAGATGCCAAAGTGGCTTTGGGAGGCACCACTTAAGGCCCAATGCAAGGGAACCTGTTTTCCCACCAGTAGTGTCTGCCAGCTCCGGGAGCACAGTGGCCCCCCACTTCTGTTCCCTTCTAAAATTTTCAGGGGCAAGGACAGCACAGTAATTTCTGGGACCTGGGGCCTTTTACCTCCCAGTCCTCTATGGAGCTCTGCCACTGAGCAATCTTGTCTATGTTTTCAAGTCTCCGTTTCCGTTCATTGATGAGCTGGGCCACATTCTTCATGGCATGCAAAGCAGCTTCGACATCCTTGAAGTCCCTGAGGCAGAAAAGAGATGGAAGGGTGCAGCAAGCTGGGGACCAGAGAGAGCTGTTGAGTGCCCAGTGACCTCTAGGTGTGCAGCTGCCTCTCTCTGGACTGTGCCCCTTGCCATAGCCTCACCCATCAAGTACACATTCCCTCTCCTCAACTGCCCAGGGGAGCAGCTTACTATTCTATTGATGTATCTTCCTCCAGTGATAGTTCAGGATAGGCTTGCATTACCCTAGGCTATTCCCCAGTGCCCACGGCAGGACTCAGCACTCGGTAATTGTTCAATTGGCTGACTGAAGGCATGCAGAGTCTCAGCACTGCCTCATGCCTCCTACCTGTGCTGGGGGTGTGTGTACTTGAGCAGCTCTGCCAGCTGGAGGGGGTACTTGCAGATCTTTTGCACCGGGGTCAGCAGAAAGCCATCTAGGGAGATGTCGATCATCTTTTGCAGCAGCCTGCAGGCCTCGAAGAAGTACACATACTTGCTGAGCTTGGTGAGTCGGGAGAGCTCCACACAGGCGTTGGGGTGGTTGTTGCAGTACTCAGAGTAGATCTGGAAGTCTGCTTGCTGGGGGTAGAGCTGGAGGTCAGGATGGCTATCTCCCGTTTCCCAGGGTAACAGGCCACAGCCATGCACCAGGAGGGACAGGCGCCTCTGCATTTGTTTCCTGGTCTCTGTCTTCCTACTTCACTGGACACAAGCTATGTGGAGTCGTATCAGGGATAGGAAAAACCTGAGGTATGTGTGTGCCCATTGTAGCCACTCAGCTTTTCAATGGGGCTCTCAGGAGTTAATAGAAGTATTAGCTTCTATTTCATTATTTTTTAATGATATCAGTGGTGCTAATCAGAAAGAGTTATCAAGACTACCCAGGGAAGGCCCTGGAAGGTGGAGACAGACATCCTTAGGCTGTTTCAGAAGGCAAGACAGCCTCTATACCATCAGTCAGTTCTCTGTGGGCCCTAACCAACCCAGTGAACCTGAAGCTGAATAGTAGCTGGAGTTTTGGGTGATTGCAGGCTGTAAATTCTACCCACATTCCGGCTTGCTCACCGTGTAAGGAACCCCAGAATCTATTAACAGCCCTTCAACTAGTGACCTAGTCCACCTTTGCCTTCCCCTCTAGCCAAAGAAAAACCTTACCCTGGCTGATGTCCCCTGCCCCTGTGAGCCTTCAGTGACTTGTTTCCCTAAGACTGTTGTTGAATGAGGGCAGCTAGGCGGACAGGGTTGAAGCCCGGTGCACTGGTGTGGAAACTTTTTCAGAAAAGAGTAGCTGGTTGCCTGGGCTAGAACAGGAGGCAGGTGCAAAGCAAGCGAAAATACCATAGGGCCAGAGTGTGTGGGGCCAGGGCACGGGGATCCGGGACGGGAGCAGATGTGCTCACATGTTCCAGAAAGCAGGCTCCCAGCTCGCTCAGGTGTGGGCGCTCTTGGTTGAACTTCTGCTCCAGGGCCTTCACGAACGCCTTCTGGCAGCGGTAGATGTCTTCGATATTCCCAAAGATAGTTCGCAGCTGCTCCTCACTGAACATGTCCGAACGCTTGCGGCACTGGCGGACATAGCCCTGGGGGCCATGCAGAATCAGGCTCCGCCCTGCTGCCCTCCCGACTCGTCCCACCCCTGGTCCCACCCCATTCTCAAGGTCTGGCCCTGCAGCCCCGCCTCACCTCACAGATGTCCCGAAGGTGCTTGATGTAGTCCCTCTCGGTGCTGAGGATCTCGTTGATGACGTTGGTGCGCATCTGGTCCTTGCTGCTCGGAGCCTCCGCCACGCTGTTCTGGGCCTCCCCAGCCCCGGCCCGCGGGGCCTCATCGTCCGCGGGTTCATCCTGGTTCACCCGCAGCTGTAGGCAAAGCAAGGCCTCCCTGAATTCTGCTCTGGAGCACCATCGGGGAGCCATGGCTGGGAGCACCCACAGGACACGAAGGTCCAAGGATAAAGCCCACAAGTTTCCTGCAACTGCCTCATAGGCACAAGGCCAGGGCAGGGGCAGCCAGTTTGAGGACCATGGCGCTGTCCTTGTTAGCCCAAAATCTCACCTCTAGTAACTTATTCTCAGTAGTGCTTGGAGCAGGCACTAGGAGTTTCTGAACCAGAAAGGCTGCTCATACCGCATAATCTAGGGACTGTAATTTAGGCGCTGGGTGGCAGCCTTGCTGGCTCACTAGCCTGTAACTTTAGAAGAGGCTTGGGGCAGTAGAGTGGGCCCAGGGCATCTACACAGGATGAGCACCTGAGCACCAGGGTCTGGGGTCATCCCTCCCTTTGCCTTGCCTCTGGGAGTCTGAACTGGAATTCCTTCCCTGAGACCAGTTGCAACTTATGGTTGGGACTGGGTCGGTTTGCTCTGCTCTCTTGGGTATGACTTCACGTGCCCATGCCTCAGTCTCCTCAAATTCCCACCTCCCAGGGCTGTGTGTTAAGTTTCCCCTCTCCTAATACATACTGGTGAACCTTGAAGTACTTAGTAAAGAAGGGTAGAATGAGCTGTGTGACCTGTGGTATTCTAGCACCACATTCTTCTCTCTGGCCCACAAGAGATTGCCAGCTGGGTCTTGGAAGCAGGTAATAGAGGAGGGGGTATATGTCAGTTTGGACTCCCACCCATCCAGGAAAGCAGAAAGGGTGGTCCTTGCCCCCTGCCTAGGACTGCAGAGCTGTTTGGGGCTTGACTTCTGAGCAGAGAGAGGAGACTTTTCACAACCTTGGGGGAAAGCACAGACTGCAGTCATACCCGCACAAAGCTGGCTGGGAACCACCCCTCGCCATCTGACACTCGGCCCCACCACCATTCTCTGTTGGTGGCATCCATCACTTCGATGACATCCCCAGCTTTGAAGCCCAGCTCCTGGTCGTCCATGGTGACATGGTCCCAGAGGGCTTCAGCACAGACCACACTGCCATCACTGATGAGCTGTAGAGAGAGCCAAGACAGGTGGGCCAGTGAGGCCTTGTTCCCCACCCAGCAGCCCTGGAAGCAGGGATCCTGGCCTGCTTTATAGAAGAGCTGATGAAGGTTCTCTCTAGGACAGCACCTCCTCTGGAGCAGGGCTGTGCCCTGGGCATGTCTAAATGGTCAAATCTCAGTGAGGGAGCCAGAAGTGAACTTGAGCACAAAATCTGATTGTCACATGACTCCCTCCCTGTTCAAACACACCTTCCTCAGCCTGCCGAGTGTGCTGAAGTAATGGTTTCTCAGCTCATGCCCTGCTCTGTGATGTTAGGCTGGGATGTGGCAGCTGCCATCTGCTCTACTAGGCAGCACTGGAGGGATAACTTGCTCCCTCTGCAGGTTCTTATAGACTTATACAGCTTATGAGGTGACCCAACTATGTATGACAGTGCCCATCACAGCAGTTGGGTCCTGTTTGATGTGTGTGTGTGTGGGGGGGTTGTTTTTTGAACCCTGGAGGAAGCAGCCTCATGGCACACTGACCTCTACAACCCTGACACCCGAAGCAGCTATGGGACAGCCCCCTTTAGACTTTAGATCCTGAACCCTGAGGGTCTTTCTAAATCATTCTAATTGCCCTCCTTTATTCCATAGGAGGAAACAGATACTTCTTGTATTTGCCAACTGTAGCTGGCTTCTCTAGACTGTTCTTGAGCATTCTGTCACTCACTGATTCAGTCACTTTATATCTGACAGCTCTCTGTATTGGGTTCTCTCTGCTCAGATCACTGGTGAGGCTCTGCTCTCTCCTGTGTGGCCTGTTCCTAGCTCCTTCCTGATAGAAGCTCTGTCCCCCATCTTTTGACTCCTGCTTTTCAGAAGGCTGTTTCTGTTTCGTGAATAAATGGCTCCAGGGGTTTAGAGGAGAATGTCAGCTGGGGCTGCACATGGCCTCCATGCTGGCTAACCCAACAGGGAAGAACTGGATGGAATACCCCCAAACAGGTCTCCCATACCACCCAGTTCTGCTCCTAGTTGTTCTTCACCCCTATGTACCCTCCTTCAGCCTCCCTGGGCACTCCCACATGCTAATCCTCACATTGACCCAGGAAGCAGGAATGGCTCCTAGGAGGAAGGACCAACATCTCAAACCCGGCTCCAGACATTATCTTGGAGGCATGCACCCACAAGCAGAGAAGGGGAGTGTCATGCCAAAGGCCACACAGGGATCCCAGCACAGAGTTTCTGGGTTGATCTTGGCGACAGCAAGTTTCCTGCTTCTGTAACAGGTGAGCCTTCTGCAAGTGAGTCTGGCTGCCACACAGCTGGGGTGATGCAGGAAGACCCAATAAAGCCACAAGAGGAGCCAGCCCACCTTCTGCAGTGGGCTTTTATGTGAGGCCTTAAAGGAGGTGGTTCAAGGGGAAAAAAGAGGGTGGATTCCTTCATGGTGAGGGTGAGCAAGGGAATGTGCCTGACTTGGGGTCTGTAACTCAGGCCACATACCTGGGAGAAATAGAGGCCAGCTTCCTGGTGGTCCAGGTTTATATAACTCCTGCTTTGTATTAACTGGGTGAGGCATCTCTCTCTGCCCCTGGATTCCCTCAAATGAACACTGAGGTGGGGGGACCCTCTCCATGGTCTGTATACCCTCTCTGTGGTCTGGTGAACCCTCTCCATGGTCTGGTGTGCCCTCTCCGTCCTTTATTCTACAGTCCTTGCAGACAGGTGTGGGTCCTGCATTTTCTGGGAAAGTTACCAAGGGTGTGGGACAAAGAGCAGGGCTTCATAGAGACTGAGGTCCAAGGCAGCATTAGAAATAAGACCCACCACTGTCCTGCCATCATGTGGAAGCCTGTGGGGGTGGGAAAGAGGTGCTGGTCACCTCTGCTGCACAGGAAACACCAGATGGACACATGACTGTGTCCATGAGCAAGTTCCCTGAGCTCGTTTGTCTCCTATCAGTGCCCTAGTAAGCAACATCTGCCCTTCACTGGTAGATCACAAATGGAAGAAGGTACTCTAACAACTTTTAGCCCTGAATTTAACTATTTCTATAATGTTACCAAAATAAAATGTGGCTCCAAGAGGCCAGAAACACATTTCCTAGGATATCAGAGGTGTGTTGAGGCTGCAGCTAGGCCCTTTTCTACACAGCCCTTCCCGGTCTCAGCCAGGTGCACCTGCTTCTAAAACCTGGACTAAAGCTGGCAGCTGAGACTAGGATTCCAGCTGGCTCATGCCTGACAGTGGGGGGGGGCGGGGGGGGGACACGGACACGGGACTGGTTCTGAGGCACAGGGGCATTTGTGTGGGAGCAGGTGGCGCCTGTGCCTCTGGTTAGGCCTCTGTGCGCCGGATGTGGTGGGAGTGTGTGTTCCGAATGGCCACCAGGATCCTGCTCTGCCCTAGGAAACTGACTGGCACTTTCTTTAAGGCCTAAAATAAGAGCTCAGGTATCATGTGCAGAGGAGCTCGGCCCTCCTGCAACCATCCCCGAACAAATACATGTCCTGTGGTCCAATGCACACCCTTTCCAGACCACGGGCCAGTTGGTCACAGCTCCACAGCTTCAGTTAGAGACCCGCCATGTTGCCCCACCCCCTCCTCACCAGCCCCTACGACAGAAGAAAGGAACCCTTGGCACGTGTGCCACCACGCCCCTCAATCACCCTCAGGGTGGCATCATCCGGAGCACCCCAGGCCGGGCCATGACAGTGAGCACATGGGGTGGTGGGAGGCCGCCCCTCGAGTGCCAGCGGTGCCAGCGGCTGGAAGATGCCACTCACCCTGCGTGGTGCCCGGCAGCGCACAGCTCAGCGGAAGGCTAGCAGGAATATCAGCACAGCATTGATGAGGACCAGCAGTGCCAGCACAGCGGACACCACCACGCGTTGGGCGCCCGGGGGCAGGTTGCAGCGCAGCAGGGCGCGCAGGGCGCCGCCGGGCGTCGCCTGGCCGCGCCGGGGCTGCGGGGGCCTGGCCATCACTCCGGGCCTCCGGGCTCCCAGCGGCCCGAGATTCCGCGGAGCAGGGCCTGACCCAGAGGCCGGCGACTGGATAAAGGAGGCGGAGCTGCCAGCGCTCCCCGCCAGGCTCCACCCGCACAGCTGCGCGGAGCCAGCGGGCGAAGATGGCTCCGGTGGGAGCCGGGCAAGGATGCTGCCTGGTGGAGGGACCAATTAAAGAGGTGCGGAGGGGTTGCAGCGCTCCTGTGTGTTGGGATCTGCCCTGGGCGTCTCCTTGGAAAGGGGTGGTGGTCACCCACCCTTCCCCACACCCACACAGTGTCCATTCTTGAATTCTGCGCACAGATGGCCACCGGGGTCCTTGGGAATGCACCGGGACCTGGCATTCCGGAGCCAAAATGCCTGGCACAGTTACTGTGGGAGGCCAGGACCTCTTTCAGTTTTGTTTTTGAGAGTCCAGGCTGGCCTCTAATTCACTATGACCTTGAACTTCAGAATCTTCCTGCCTCCACCACCTCAGTGCTGGGATCACAGGCATACTCCACCACGCCTCTTTTATGTGGTTTTGGGACTCAAATCCAGGGTTTCACGAATGTTGGACAAGCACTCTACTATCTGAGTGGGGCAAATCCCCAACAGACAAGATCTTGATCCTAAAGACTGTCATTAGGCACCCACTTGACAGATGAGTAAATGCATCTCTGAAACATCAGGTAATTTGCTGCCACAAAAATCACCCAGGAATATGGGGTAGTGGAAGCAGCATTTGGACCCTGGTCAGATTGGTCCACGTTGACAGGTTCTTCACCACCTCAACCACCAGAATAACATTTTGATCCTTTGAGCAAGCACCTGGCTTCTTTACTGCCAGCACCAGACAAAGCCTGCAACTTTAACTGGGCAGGAGTCCCTTCTGTCCACAGTACAGAGCTCAGTTATACCAGTATGTCCCTCTGAGATTGACTGTAGCTTAGAGGGTGAACACACAGCTGGGAAGTGGGCAGGGAACGGAAGGGAGCACAGGAAGTGTGTGGAGAGGCTGGGTGTTCACACATAGGTGACTGCATGCTTGGGTATTCCTGTGTGTGGCAGACTACTTGCACAACAGTATAGGGGAGTGTAGTTCTGAATGACCATCCTTCTGAAGACACTGGGAGTATACACATGTGATCCTATGTAAAATATGAGTGCATGTGTATCTGTGTGGAAGGACACTTCTGTGGACAGGTGTGAGTCATTTGTTCATGTGCTTATATGTGAGTGTGTGTGGGGGGGTGCCTCTTGTATATGCAGAGGAGGGTCAGAATGGATCCAGAGGGGCTGTCTGCCTCCTTGCACTACAGGCTCAGCCTCGCCCATCCATCTGGGGCATTGCTCCTGCTCAGTTCTGCAAAAATCCTTGTGTACCAGAGTGTTTCCCTGACCCCTCAAGGGATTTGTGGAGGGGCAACAGAAGCCATCTAAAGGCTCCCTGTCATCCTGTCTACTAATGTTCCTCCAAGGCTGAGACAGGCTCTCTAACAGGATGAGACTTAGAATCTATGATTTAATGGGTCAATGTTTTGTTATGCACTTGTGGCCCCAGAGTGACTAACCACTCAGGGGAGAAAGTATCCTCCACGTCCTCAGGCCCCTGGCATATCAGGCTGAACCAATATGTGGCCTCTGTCACTGTTGTATAGTGATTCTCTATAAAAGAGAAATAAAACATTCAAACCTGGAGGGAAGCTCTTTAAGACTCAGAAAATAAAATTTAGAAGACTCAGTAAGCAAACAGCTCAAGTCTCAAAAAGTTCCTAAAACTTACAAGATTCACAAGGCTCCTTCCCCAGGGTTATATACGCAGTAACACCTGATGAGAAGAGGAGACACTCTGACCTGTTGAGCTGCCTATGAGTCTTGCAGGGAGTTCCAGGGATGTAGCTTTCAAGAGAGTGGGGCTTTCAGTGATACAGCTTTTGAGTTATCCCTGCTCCTATGTGTAACCCCAATAAACTCACTGATTCACCAAGCTAGACTTGTGTGGAATTGTTTCTTTGGTTTGTCGTCAAT